GCCGGCGCGGCGCCGTGGGAGGTGCCAAGCCGCTGCCCTTCCTCGTCGCCACAGCCAGAGGAGGAGGAGGAGGAGGAGGAGGAGGAGGAGGAGGAGGAGAAGGAGGAGGAGGAGGAGGAGGAGGAGGAGGAGAAGGAGGAGGAGGAGGAGGGGGAGGAGGAGGTGGAGGAGGTGGGAGGGGAGGAGGAGGAGGGCCTCAAAGTGCTTTTCAGAGCACGCCCCTGCAGAGGTCCCCAGAGCATCAGTATCGGTACCTTTCTGTCCCCCCAGTTGGCGGTGTCGCTGGTGTCGGCGTTGCCGTCGTCGCCGTCGTCGGCGTCGAGGTCGGCGGAGTCGGCGGAGTCAGCTTCGCCGATGCTTTTCCGGGCCTCCCAAATCCCAAGTGGAGGTCCGAGCAGATGGAGTCGAAGAGTCGCGCCGCGTCGCCGATGCATCCCAGATGCGGCTCGATGCGGAGCCCGATTGTCTCCACGCCGACGGCGTGGCAGCATCACCGACGTCGCCGATGCATCGCCGATGCCTCGGCGCTGCATCGACGATGCGGGGCGATCCTCCGATCTCGTCTACTCCGACTCCATGTGCTCGGACCCCATGTGGTAGGCCTCCAGTGAACTACAGTCGGCCCTGATTAGTAGGTCGACCCTGCCAGCTCAAGGGTACCCTTGTGTCATGTGCCTCGCGGCACGTGCCTTCTTACACTCCTATGGCGATGTGGCCTTTGGAAGGGTCTTGTGTCCTCTCGCGTGTCCTCTTCAATCTAGTTCGACTGTACCGGCCCTCGGGACCGTCAAAGAACGACTCGGGATGGAAAACCCGTCCCGGGGAATTGGTCGAGACCTCCGGGGGTCGCGTCGTGCAAAAACCAGGGCGTCGGGGGGGCCTGGGCCCGTCGACGTGTCTGCGCGGATGAGTCCTCCGGGCCGCGCCCGGCCGCGGCGGCGAGATCCTCCAGGAATGCCGCCAGGACTGCCTCCCCTAATTACAGTCGGACTTGATTGGAGAGGACACGCGAGAGGGCACAAGACCCTTCCAAAGGCCACATCGCCATAGGAGTGTAAGAAGGCACGTGCCGCGAGGCACAGGACACATGGGTACCCTTGAGCTGGCAGGGTCGGCCTAATTACTAATCAGGGCCGACTGTAAGGGCCTCCAGCCGGGCGTTGCTAGAAGTACCCCTGGCCCAAGGTACCCCCAGGATTCTCGGGGTGGCCCGGGAGGCCTCGTCCTGATTTTTTCAGGACGGCGTCCTTGGAAGTCCCGACCCTTTCCCCGGGACTGGTTTTGCGTCCTGAATCGTTTTTCGACGGTCCCGAGGCCCAGCGAGGGCCCCCTAGGGGCCGAAAAAACTCGAAAACCTCCCGTCCCGATTTTTTTGGCGACGCGATCACGTCTCCCGGACTCCGGATCCGCCCTACTTGTGGGAAATTCGTAAGTAGGGCTTGGAATTTCTGCCTTACTTTTCAGGCCCCGCTGATGCCAATTTCCGCCCTACTTTTCTGTTGCTGTTTCCGCCCTACTCCTGTGGATTTCCGCCCTGTTTTATGTTGGGTGCAGAGATTTCCGCCCTACTTTTTCGGCTTCTTATAGGTGGATTTCCGACGCAGTTTAAGTTGGAAAAAAAAACCAAAGCAGGGCGGATCTGGAGTCAGGGAGCTGGGTCTCTGGGGAGCCGCCGGCGCGTGCTTCTTCGTCCGCCTCCACGGCCGGGCGCGGCCCCGAAGAAGCGGGCCAGGCACGTGGCCGTCACTGCTCCTGCCTGCCATGGGCGGCCCTCTTGGAGCCGAGGAACGACAAAACACACACACATAAACAGCAACTTTTGGCGCTCCGCGCGGGTTTCCTTCTCCTCCTCCTCCTCCTCCTCCTCCTCCTCCTCCTCCTCCTCCTCCTCCTCCTCCTCCTCCTCCTCCTCCTCCCCCTCATCCTCCTCTTCCTCCTGCTCCCCCTCATCCTCCTCCGCCTCCTCCTCCTCCTCCGCCCCCCCCCTCTCCTTCGCGCCTCCGGCGCCGCCCCTGGCGCGCTCCGCGCGCCAGGGAGGGGGCTCCGGCGCGGATCCGAGAAGCCCGCGCGGAGCGCCGCAAGTTTATGTCTATGTGGTTTCGGCTTTTAGGGGGCCATATGCGAACCCTACCCCTACCCCCCACGATTTCTGAGGGGGAGGGTGGGGTTCACTTCGCTCGGGAGCTCCCGAACGAAGTGAACCCCACCCTCCCCCTCAGAAATCGTGGGGGGTAGGGGTAGGGTTCGCATGTGGCCCCCTATTTTTTCTTCTCACGGAAGGCCCATATCTCGGGAGCCCCCGTGCCTTCTCCGTGGAAGGCAGCCGCCGCCTCCGCCCCCACCCCCCGGCCGGCAGCCGCTGGGAACTGGCCTGCGGGCCCCGCCCAGGGCCCATCCTGGCTGGTGCCCAGGGGTAAATCGGGCCTGTCCTTCTACACGAGGAGCACTCGAAAATAGTTCTGTTTTTTTTTACAAAAAAAGAGTGTGGGGGCGATTTCTGGACTACTTTTCACCATTCGGGAGCATTTTCGGGGGAATTGTTGTTTTTCAATCGCTTCGCTTATTCCGCCGGCGCCCTGGAGTCCTCTCTAAGGCCTCTCGGGGGCCTCTTTGGAACCTCTTCGGAGTCTCTTGGGGCTCCTTGGCGGCGTCTGGGGGGCCCCTGCAGCCTCTTGGGGGGCTCTTGGGGACCTCTTGGGTCAGAAGGGGGGGTAGTCGATTGCGCCACTCCCCTCGGAGGCCACGATCCTGGTGAGAGGTGTCGAAAAATTGCCTGGTCTGGCATCTCTGATCCAAGTGTCCTGGGGGTGTCCCGGGGGTCTCCCTGGGTACTTTTCGTCCGGGGACCCCCAGGGGCGGCCCCGCGCGCGCGAACTAGAAAATTGTTAACCAGTTACTGGAGATCTTAGCACGCCCTTGGCCCGTTGGGCAGGCGATTTTTTCGCCCAAAAGCCCCCTGTAGGGGGACATGCCCGACTTACGCCTGGGGCGAGGACCTCCCAGGAGAGCTCCCAGAGCGTCCCAGACGAAGGCGGCCCCGTCCAGGGTCCATCATGACCGGTCGGGCCTAGAGACGACCAGAAGCCCAAAGAACGACGGCGTCGACGCCCCGTCGTCGTCGTCGTCGTCGTCGTCGTCGTCGTCGTCGTCGTCGTCGTCGTCGTCGTCGTCGTCGTCGTCGCCGTCGACGCCCCTGCTGCACTCCGCCGAGGAGGGCTTCGCCGGCTTCGGCGACCCTTACGCACCGAAGCCGCGCCCGGCTGCCCCGTGCGCCCGCGGGCGGATGGAGGGCGGCGTGGCCGTCGTGCCGCCGCTGGGGCTGGCCAACTGAGCGGAGCAGGGGGGCTTTCCAGACGGCCGAGGGTGGAGCTGCGGGGGGCGGGGGGGGGTGGAAGAGGAGGGAGGGGCGGAGGGGCGGATGGAGGAGGGAGGGAGGGAGGGAGGGAGGAAAGGAGGGACGGAGAAGGTATGGACGGCGGTGGAAGCGTGGAGAAGAGAGGAGCTGAGGGTGAGGAGGGATGGGGGACGGGGAAAGGAGCCGGGGAGGGCGCAGCTTGCTCGCCACATCCTCTGGTGGCCTCTTCCCAACGCTGGACAGGCGCGGTGGAACGGCCGTGTAGGTCCAGGCGTTGGCATGAATTCTGATGCGTGATGCAGACACGGGGGAGAAAAATAGCACGGCGCCCTCGGACCAGTTTCCAGTCGGTTGCCCAGATGGGCACGATTGCTCCAAGCGCCGATCCAGATACCTTCCCAGGAGTGCGTTCGGTATATCTATATATATATATGTGTATGTACGTATGTATGTATGTCTGTCTGTCTGTCTGTCTGTCTGTCTGTCTGTCTGTCTGTCTGTCTGTCTGTCTGTCTGTATGTATGTATGTATGTATGTATGTATGTATGTATGTATGTATATATAGATGTGTATGTATGTGTATATATATATATATATTCCATTTGAGGTATTCGTCCAACTCTGTGAAGGTCTGCCTTGGAGCAGTTGTCAAACATCGTTTTGAACCTACTTGTTCAACTTGTGTTGGGACGCTTATACAGTACATGGAGGACGTGCAATCGTTTCTCCTGTTGATAGAACGTTCCAATGCGCTGGCATGTTTGTAAGTATGTTGGACTATGTTTCTTCAAGTGTAACTGACTCCAAGGCCTCGTGGTGGGTGGTTGGGACCGTTTCGCCAAAACCACCATCTCTAAACAAAGCGCAGCATTTGTTGTTGTTGGTTGAAGTCTTGTGAGGCGGTCACACAACTGTGCATTAACCTATGGACAGTATATTCCCATAACGTTGTGGGCAGAGCATCGTGCTCTTGTGCATCGGTCTGGAGTCACCATGAGAGATTGTTGTAAGTGGTTGTGGGCACTTGTCCAGTGGAAGGAACATGTCGACCGTCATCCCGCGGTCGGTGTCTCGGCGTTGGCTGAGGCCTGTCATCCAGAAAGCCCAGAAAGGGAACGGAAAGCTGCCAGGCTCGTGCATCCAGCTCGTCTGTGCTTGGTCCTCGCCCTCGCGAGCCCCAGCCGTCCTCCCTGGGAAAGGGGGGCCGGGAGCAGGCGGGGACCGCCTCGTCTGCCGAGCTCTGCCGGCGGCGTCGCGCACAGGCCCTCCTCCTCCTCCTCCTCCTCCTCCTCCTCCTCTTCCTCCTCCTCCTCCTCCTCCTCCTCCCCCTCCTCCTCCTCCTCCTCCTCCTCCTCCTCCTCCTCCTGGCCGGCCGTCTTCCTGAGCCTGTCAGCCCTCATCCTTGGCACGGCTCGCTTCCTCCGCGAGTCCCGCGCGCTCCTCTCCTCCTTTCCCTTCGCGTCGATCTCCCTCCGCCCCGCTCCTTCCCGCCCCTGCACGCTGCTCGTTCCCCCTCCACCTTGCCCTCCTCCGCGTCCTCCTCCACGTCCTCCTCCTCCATGTCCTTCTCCTCCTCCTCCAGGTCCTCCTCCCCCTCCTCACAGTTCTCCTCCTGCCGAGTCTCCCCCTCCCTCCCGCCGCAAAGGCGGTGCCGCAGCAGGCCGCGCACGGAGGCTACCCGGCCCCCATGATGGGGCCGGGCGCGCCGGGCATGATGCAGACCCCAGGCGCGGTGCGGGGAGAGGGGGGGGGCAGGAGAGCGAGGGAGGGGGGGGGGGGGGCGGATGGGGGAGGAGGGGGAGGGTGGAGAGGGGGGAGAGGAGGAGAAAGGGGGGAGAGGGGGGAGGAGGGGGGAGAAGGGGGGGATTCTCGCAGCCGTCGGGGCTACGAAGCCGACGCCCCCGGCGACGGCAGGGCCGAACAAGCGCGCCTCGCTCGAGCAGTTTCTCAACATTGCTGACCATAGGTTGCGGTCGGGAATTTTTGGATAGCGTGTCTCTCCGCCGGTGCCGGTTCTGGCCTACCACGCTTCGGCGCGACACGCTATCTACTTCCCAATCCCCTTCGTCAGCGTCCCGAGCTGTTCCCAGCCTCCCGCCCCACGGAGCGGAGCGACACCAAGGCATAGCGTGCCGCTGGGGACGCCGCCGCGACGCGCTGTTCAAAATGTCCCGACCGCATATTGTGCCACATCTGCACGGAGGGCGGATCCTTCACCCATTTTGAGGTTGTGACGCGTAGCACCAGAATTGCGAGCACGTGTGCAACAGCTGCATTTTTTTTAATCAGAATGTGGCTCACGCTGGACACCTCCCTGACGTTCGTGATTCTACTGCTCGAAGGATGGACGGTGGCGCAGGGCAGCGCCTTTCGTAGCTTTCACTTGGGACGGGATGATGTGCTGCCGCCTCGCTGATGTATCCTGGGTTTGTTCTAGCCGTTTCGTCCTCATCCTCCTCATCTATACCCCTCTCTCCCGCCCCTCGCCCCTCCCCCTTTCTCTCCTCTCCCACCCCCTCCTCGATCCTCCTGACGGGCCGTGGCACAGGGGTCTTTCCCTCCCCCCCCCCCCCCCTCGGGGCTGTCCTATCCTACCTCCCCCTCTCCCCCCTTTCCTTCCCCTCCCCCTCGCTCCTCCTCCCCCTCCCCACCTGCCTCCCCCCTCGCTCCTCCTCGCCCCTCCCCCTCGCTCCTTCTGGTTCTCCCACCCCCCCTCCCTCCTCCTCCCCCACCACCACTCCCGGGGCACGGCTGCTGGAGCCCAGCCCTCCGCACCGAGAGACGGCCCCCCTTTCCCCCGCCCGCGCTGCCGAGGCGCGCCGATGATGATGACCCCCGGCATGGGCTTCTGAGCGCCCGGCCGGGCGGCCACCCACGTCGACTCATCAACGATGTTGGAGTACACTTAAGTCGGGCGTGTCCCTCTACATGAGGACGATTCAAAGATGATCAAAACAAATATCTGGGGACGATGTCTTTAGTATTCTTGAATTTGTTCAAGCATTTTTGGACGATTTACCTAACAGCGAAGACTGATAGGTTTCTAGTAGGGTCAAAAGAGAGCATCATGACGCCCCAGGGGGGTCTGGGCGCGATCCGGGGGAGGATGCCGGGGGGATGCCGGGGAATTCGTTTTAAGCAAACTATAGCGCACTTCGTGGCCTTCGAGTTCCCAAAACTCCATTCCCGGGCCACATTTTGAATGCCCGGAGCCAACTGTAGGCCACTTCGTGTTCTTCGTGTTCCCAGAACATTCGCGGGCCACATTTTGAATGCCCGGAGCCAACTGTTTCGTGTTCTTCGTGTTCCCAGAACACCATTCCCGGGCCACATTTTGAATGCCCGGAGCCAACTTTGCGCCATTTCGTGTTCTTCGCGTTCCCAGAACACCATTCCCGGGCCACATTTTGAATGCCCGGAGCCAACTGTAGGCCACTTCGTGTTCTTCGTGTTCCCACAACACAACTCCTGTACCACATTTTGCTTGCCCGATGTCCCCGTCGTATCCCCTGCTAACCGCTTGCTGTCCTGTTCTCTCTTTCATCGGCTTGCAAAGCATGCGGTACTTTGGTATGCCGTTTGAGCACATGCCATCCCATCAGCCTTCATGGATTCGATGTTTCTTTTCGGTTGGCGGCGAGGTATACGGTTACATGTATATGATTATTCCAGTGGTTACGTTGCGTAGCCGATTCTTTGCAGTGCGTAGCGTGTCTCAGAGTTGACTGATCTTGTGTATTGAGAGTTGTCTCGCACGTGGCGGAGGTGGCACGGGTGCGCCACCCGCGCAGGAGCAGGAGGAGCAGGAGCAGGGAGGCTCCTTACTCCTTCCTCCCTTCCCTTTCTTCTTTCATCGATGCACGGGGTACCCGACCCTTTATGATAGCAGTGTCTCCTTTGGACCTAATTCCATTGATCGCAGCGTCTCGTTTGGATATACACTTGTCGAAACAGTTAATCATTCGAAACTAAGTCCGTTGCTAGCATTGTCTCGTTTGGGGCTAAGTCCATTGATAGCAGTGTCTCGTTTGGACCTACCAACCATTGATCGCAGTGCCTCGTTTGGGTCTAGATCCATTGATCGCAGTGCCTCGTTTGGGGCTAGATCCATTGATAGCAGTGTCTCGTTTGGTGATAAAGCTATC